ATAATTTAATGAAACGTAAAAGCTTCCGCGCTTTGCGCGGGAGGGGGGAGAACTGAATTCAGATAAGGATTAAGAGTCGAGAACAGTACACTGAATCGTCTACTTTTTCTCATAATTTAATGAAACGTCAAAGCTTCCGCGCTTTGCGCGGGAGGGGGAGAAACTGAATTAAAAAAAGGATTAACAGTCAAGAAAGGTCCAGCAAATCGTATTCTCTTTATAATAATTTAATGAAACGTCAAAGCTTTCGCACTTTGCGCGGGAGGGGGGGGGAACTCCCGGCCCCCCCCCCCCCCACTCAGAGGTCGGATTGACCGCATGCGTGTTGCCAAAATGTCCGGTAAAGGGGTACTTTTCGTGCGACAAAGTCCGGCCCGAGAATTGTAAGAAAAGGGGGTGTATTTGACTTTTCACCCGGAGATTTCTTTAAAAAGGGGTGTTTTTCTTTTTTCTCTCATCTCTTTTGGACTCCTGAGAAATTATTCCGAATTTAGGGGGGTACATTGAGCATTTTTTCTGATTTAGGGGGGGTCTCCAATGCAAAAAAAGCCCGCGAAAAGCCCGCGAAAGTGGGTTTCGGAAATGTTGGCAGTCCTCAGATAGGGGGTGCTTTCAAAAAGAGGGTACGAGCATAATGCGTACCCTAAATAACACTGAGTGGGGGGGGGGGGCCCGGGGGGGGAACTTCAGTCAGACAAGGATTAACCGTCGAGAACGGTACAATAAATCGTCTTCTTTTCCTAATAATTTAAGGAAACGTCTAAGCTTCCGCGCTTCGCGCGGGAGGCCTATCACCCACATCCCCCTAATGAGCGCGCAAGCTCTCTTTAAGTGATTCGCTGGCTCACTACCGCCCCTCCCTAAAATAAGATCCCAGCTCCGCGCCTGCATTAAAATATGTAGGTATGATGGTGACTAAGTTGACGAAATAATTCGTATATTTATGTCGTCGAGGAAAATGACCATTTGCGCATACGCAAGTACTATAGATAGTCCATAAAAAAAAATTAGCCTTCAGTCGGCCTCGGGTTTATAGGGTTAAATTTGTAGATATTGGGACATTTAATTTTGTCGGTAATTGGTGGCTAGTTTTGTTGGTAATCGTTGACCTCTACACCCCCCCCCCCCCACACTGAAAAGGTTCTAGCGACTCCCCTGACTACTACTACAAAAGAAAAGGAAATCAAACAGAAATAGATAAATCAAATCAAATCAAATCAAATCAAATCAAACCTTAGATCAGTTGCGTATAGAAGCGGGTGAAGAGGGCACACACCCAGGACGCGGCACTAGGAGGGTGTGCAATGAGAACAGAGAAATAGAAGCAGGCCCGTAGGGGGGCACGGGGGCACGTGTCCCCCCCCCCCCCAAAAAAAAAAAAAAAAAAAAAAAAATCAAAGATAGATTGAACTTTGTGTAGGGACCCCACTGCAAATGAGCTCTCGAGCTTTCGTGGGTTATCCTGTTCAAGCTGACTTATTTTTTTGATCTGTTATTATTGTATATTGTTGTATGTTGGAAGCTTGTCGAATAAAAATCATCAATCCCCCCCCCCCCACTCCTCGGTACGGATTTACGCCCCTGGTGTGATGGCAGCGATCAGCTATGATGCCAGACATAATAACTTATAATTAATTGGTAGGAATTAATGACATTTTTACTCAAAATATTTCTCGAATTTGGGATATGTATGCTTGTTTGATATATCGCTGATGACAGGATGAGTATTTATTGATAAAATGATAGGCCTATAATAGTCTACGTAAGATACAGCTAGGCCCTAGGGAGCAGATTTTGATGAGAGGCAGTGTTCTAGAGTGGTTTGATTGCGCACCACAGTTTCTTGAAATCAGTAGCCTAAGTATGGGTAGGGAAAGTGGGGCATAACGGACCCGGGGGTCAAAATGGAACTTTGAAATTAGCATATGTTAAAAAAGGTCGCCCTCTGTGCAAATTCTTTGAAGAAGAGAAGATGCCAAAATAATTTCAGCACTGAATTTTCATCCGGTTACATCGAGGCACATCGGAGTAAGATCCCATCCAAAAAATTACAGCCTCATGATCTAAAGTAAGGGGATGTTCATATGGCTGAAATTTGGTAATTTTGGTATCGATTCTAATCAAGTATTTGTATATATTAATCAGATATCAGCGTTAGATTCGCCTGTTTGCATGCCAACTATGCTTCAGGTATTTTCTACGCAAACTTTTATTAAAAATATGTCATTGGGCAAAATGGACCATATAGGTACGGGCAGGCGCGTACACAGGGGGGGGGGGGGGGGGGGGGGGGGGGGGGGGGGGGGGGGGGGGGTGGGGGGGGGGGGGGGGGGGGGGGGGGGTGGGGGGGGGGGGGGGGTTAACCCCCCCCCTTTGGTAATTTTTTTTGTGTAAACCCCCCCCCCCCCCTAAATTCCCCTAAACCCCCCCCCCCCCCCCCTTTTGGATTTTTTTTTTGATTTATTTATTTTTTTTATCATTTAAAATAAATAAATAAATAAATAAATATTCCCATGGTTGACCTAAAAAAGCTGACCTTACCCCCCCCCCCAACGGAGCAAAATGTCAAATTTTCAAATTCCGAGACCAAAAAAAAAAAAGTGTCCTCTTACCCCCCCCCCCCCCCCCCCCCCCCCCCCCTTAACCCTTAAAGGTACTATGTCCCTTTTGCAGCCAACCTCAAATGCTGTAGAACTTTGCAGGAATTATGAATATGTCATGTATGTCCTATCTGTGAAATTTAAACGTTTGCAGTGTCCTCATATTCAAATTATGCAAGGAAACGCGTTTACTTGCTAGACTTCACTGTCAGACACTATTGAGTGACTGACTGGCTTTTTTTCTTCTTTGGTAATAACATACATGAAAAGAGTTGTAAAGGTACTACATGAGCATTTGTCTACATCAATAACCAGGGGCGTAGACAACGGGGGGGATGAGGGGGATGCATCCCCCCCACCTCACAAGGTGGGGGGATGGCATGTACAATCATCCCCCCCCCCCAGGTTTTGGGGAATGATATTTGCTTACTTAATAAGTCATAATGATGATAATAATAGTAATAATAATAATGATAACAATTATAATATTAATAATAATAATAATAATAATTATGATGATGATAATAATAATCCTCATCATTATTGTAATTGTGTTTATTGTTATTTGCCGCATTCACACGGTGAAAGCCAATTCAGACGGTAAAAAAAAGAAAATCTATTTTGTGGTTATCTTGTGGTTTGGAAACCACAAGATAAACACAAGATTAAACAGGCGCGGATCTACGGGGGGGGGGGGGGGGTTAGGGGTTTAAACCCTCCCTTGGGCGGCCCAAAAAACAAACAAACAAAAAAAAAGGGGAAAAAAAGGGGAAAAAAAGAAAAAAGAAAGAAAAAAGAACGCACGCTGGAGAGAAACCCTTTCAAGTGCAAATATTGTGAGAAGATATTCAACTCATCTGGTAACTTAACCAACACATGATAACTCTGGATATAACTGTGTATTTAACTGTTACTTGATTTAAAAAGACGTTATCATGCACTGCTTTTTATGGTCTCCATTGTGTTAATAGATGCCAGGAAAACATCACTTACGGGGTTCAAATAAACACCCCAAAAAAAATCGGCTCGCCGCTTCGCGGCTCGTGGACGATGCTCCGCATCGTCATTATTTTGGTCAACCCCCCCCCCTTAGCAAAAAGCTAGATCCGCCCCTGAGTCATCCCCCCCAGGTGTACGAACCTGTCTACGCCACTGTCAATAACCCACTTCTTGTGATGGCCAAGATTAAACTGATTGAATCTTTGCGCAGCATAAAACGTATTACCATTCGGTGCAATTGTCTGAAAATCAAGACTATTACTTTTGGGCTCTATAGCCCTAAAGTCGATTTGACAACTAATAGTCATTATTTTTCCCACTTGAAGACATTTTCAAGCCGCCACCTTTTTTAGGGAAGTTCTAAATTAGTATTATCTTTCAAATGCAGTTGAAATTTAACTTTTTCATTTTTTTGGCCTGCAAATGGGACTAGTACATTTATAGAACGTTAGAGTTCTGATGGGGTAATACGGATCCGTAGATCCATTTTGCCCCAGGGGGGAGTGCCATTATGCCTCAGGGATGGGGCAAGTTGGATTTTTCTTTTGTAAAATCCGTTTCGAGTTTCTCTGCAATTTTACCGTGGTTTTTGTCGGTTTTTCGTTGACATAATAAAGTGCATACAACATCTATCTGAAACTGTTATTTTTACTGTTTTTGTGTCGTTGATGACGTCATAGGGTCTATTGCAAGTTTGAAATTAAAGGGAAAGTCCACCCTGAAATTAAGTTAGTTTTAATAGGAGTAGAAAAATGAGAGAAACAAGTCAGTGAAAGTTTGAGCAAATTCCGATTAAAAATAAGGAAGTTAGGATTTTTTAAGTTGTAATCAATCAAACACAAATTGGCAACTCTATGACGTATCATGCGAGCTCAACTTCCATTTGCTCAGTACTAAAAAAATCTAAAATTTTCATTTTCCCTCAAGAAAAATTTCAACCGTACATGCACCCTAAATATAATAATTGCAAATATGTTTCTATACTCCCCCTGCAAGGAACAAATATATATTCCATCATCAATAACGAAGAAAACATGATTTTATGGAATATTATGCACAAAGCAAATGAAGGAGAGCTCGTATAATAAGTCACAGAGTTGCCAATTTGTATTTGATTGATCACAACTTCAATAATTCATAACTTTCTTATTTTCATTCAGAATTTGCTCAAACTTTCACTCACCTGATTTTCTTATTATTCTGCCTCTATCGAAACAAACTTATTTTGGGGGTGGACTTTCCCTTTAAGTGTTCCATTATGCCCCACTTTCCCCTACATCTTTTTCTTAACGCTATTAGATCTGCTTTCGTCTAGCTATACTCTTTTAATAATCTGTTATGATTCATTTGTTTATGTTTTGTTTATGGTCCACGCCCACTTGTGTGTGCACATTGGGCTTATTATGTCAGATTGAGATGAACTCTAGCTCGGCGAGCGCGCGCTCCGAAAGATGGCTTCGTTCCCGACAAGAGAACGGCTCGGAGAAGCCGATTTGTTTTTCAAAATCATCCTTCTGGGAGATGCTGGAACCGGAAAAACATCATTGATGCTCAAGTACACACAATCTGAATCACTTGAATCCAGTCGTTACGAACATTCCTTGGACACATCGAGTAGAATCGTTCGCCGAGATGATAAGTCTATCCAGCTGGATATACGAGACACTGCAGGTGTGTAGTCCCATTCGTAGTTCTTTTCGTCTGTTTATTATTTTAGACTCAAAATGTGTGTGTCAATCGTGATCGTGACAGGTTATCTGATATCGATTTGTTTGACAGTCGTCTGGCTAGAAATGTCAGCAGCTAGTAATCAGCAGTGCACCTCCTGATGAACAACCATGCATGCATTATCGTAATATTTGTTTCGGAATATTATTATTAAGCCTAGATCTAGATCTAGTCTAGGCTACTGTCATTGTTGTTTGTTGAGTTGTCTAAAGTAATTGTCTTTTTCGAATTCCAGACAACTCACCACAAAGACAACCTTCCCCAAGACAACCCGCCACAATACCCTGGACATCTCGCCACAATACCCTGGACAACTCGCCACAGGCGAGTTGTCCAGGGTGGGGTGCCTTTTCGGACAACTCACCACACTTTTTTCCCCTCATGATTTCTAGATCTAAAATCCCTCATCTTAGATGAAATTGTCATTTTTCATGATTTTCGTGCTTTTATAAACACAGTCATGACAGGAAAAATGGAAATTGTGAGTATTTTGAGAGCTGTTCTAAAGAATAAAGATGATTTTCCAGGCTTGCGCTTGCAACGTACGAGCCCGGCGTACAAGACCCTCAACAAGAATCTATTTTGGACAAACCCAAGGCGTACGACTACGAGCAAGTGAGCAAAAAGTATAAGGTCCCATTTGAAAAATTACATGATGAATATTAAGGACAATCTAATGAAGAAAGACTGAAAGTTCTTTTATGTAATTATGAGTAACATTATAATTAAAACATCTAAGAAAGAAAAGTAGGCACTTATCAGAAGGGAAAGGACATGCACAAATGATAAGGGGGCACTTTAGGGGAACCTGAAAAGTGGAGGCACGCCCCCCCCCCCCCCCCCCCCCCCCGCCAACCAAGAATGCCGCCTCTGACTGGGCAAAAGCGCGAAACTAACCCCAAAATCTAGAAACCACATTTCAATTTTATTTCGCGGGTGAACTGCCCCCTCCCCCATTAGTACGCCAGTGCTTCCAGTAGGCCTATCTGTCCTTGAATTCCTACCATTAACAATTATTAGAAGGGAAAAGGACATGTACAAACTACAAAGGATAAGGGGGCACTTTAAGGGAACCTGGAAAAGTAGGGGCACAATGCCGCCTCTGACGAAACTAACCCAGAAAATCTAGAAATAAACCACATTCCAATTTTATTTCGCTGGTCAACTGCCCACCCCCCCCCCCCCTATCAGTACGCCAGTGCTTCCAGTATCCTACCATTAAAAAAATTCTGGGACAGAAAAATGCAGCTGTTTTAGTCGACGTCTAGATCTAAATGCCGAGAAGTTATCCCAATGATCTGGCGATCGTACGGTTTGTCAAAAATATATTATTGTTGCAAGGGAAATCAGCTTTATTCTTTATTCTTTGTAATGACTGTGTTTATAAAAGCACGAAAATCATGAAAAATGACAATTTCATCTAAGATGAGGTATTTTGAGATCTAGAAATCATGAGGGGAAAAAAGTGTGGCGAGTTGTCCGAAAAGGCACCCCACCCTGGACAACTCTCCACAGGGTATTGTGGCGAGATGTCCAGGGTATTGTGGCGGGTTGTTTTTGTGGCGAGTTGTCTGGACCCCGTCTTTTTCATCTTCACTTCCCATTCATTTTTATAATTTGCATGTTTTTCTCTCCTGTCCAATTTCCATAAGTCACTGACTCTAGCCTAGATCTAGGCTAGAGATATAATCATAATTCAAATTTATTTATTACTTTTTGCTCTTACTTAGACTGTTCTTTTTTAAACAGTGTACATTTTGAAATAATTCTTTCACTGAAAGAGTTTGAAGAAGATTTTTTTCCGTCAATAATTTCACAAAATATGGAAGAATAAAAAAAGATAAATCTAGATTTAGACATTTCCTCCAGTCTAGTCTAGCTATAGACCGAATTTTCTGTCTCTTTCGTTCGTTAGCCTCTGATTTGAGTAGGGTTGGCTCCTCTCTTCTCTGATTTGGGTAGGGTTGGCTCCTCTCTTCTCTGATTTGGGTAGGGTCGGCTCCTCTCTTCTCTGATTTGGGTAGGGTTGGCTCCTCTCTTCTCTGATTTGGGTAGGGTTGGCTCCTCTCTTCTCTGATTTGGGTAGGGTTGGCTCCTCTCTTCTCTGATTTGGGTAGGGTTGGCTCCTCTCTTCTCTGATTTGGGTAGGGTTGGCTCCTCTCTTCTCTGATTTGGGTAGGGTTGGCTCCTCTCTTCTCTGATTTGGGTAGGGTCGGCTCCTCTCTTCTCTGATTTGGGTAGGGTCGGCTCCTCTCTTCTCTGATTTGGGTAGGGTTGGCTCCTCTCTTCTCTGATTTGGGTAGGGTTGGCTCCTCTCTTCTCTGATTTGGGTAGGGTCGGCTCCTCTCTTCTCTGATTTGGGTAGGGTTGGCTCCTCTCTTCTCTGATTTGGGTAGGGTTGGCTCCTCTCTTCTCTGATTTGGGTAGGGTTGGCTCCTCTCTTCTCTGATTTGGGTAGGGTTGGCTCCTCTCTTCTCTGATTTGGGTAGGGTCGGCTCCTCTCTTCTCTGATTTGGGTAGGGTTGGCTCCTCTCTTCTCTGATTTGGGTAGGGTCGGCTCCTCTCTTCTCTGATTTGGGTAGGGTTGGCTCCTCTCTTCTCTGATTTGGGTAGGGTTGGCTCCTCTCTTCTCTGATTTGGGTAGGGTTGGCTCCTCTCTTCTCTGATTTGGGTAGGGTTGGCTCCTCTCTTCTCTGATTTGGGTAGGGTTGGCTCCTCTCTTCTCTGATTTGGGTAGGGTTGGCTCCTCTCTTCTCTGATTTGGGTAGGGTCGGCTCCTCTCTTCTCTGATTTGGGTAGGGTTGGCTCCTCTCTTCTCTGATTTGGGTAGGGTTGGCTCCTCTCTTCTCTGATTTGGGTAGGGTCGGCTCCTCTCTTCTCTGATTTGGGTAGGGTCGGCTCCTCTCTTCTCTGATTTGGGTAGGGTCGGCTCCTCTCTTCTCTGATTTGGGTAGGGTCGGCTCCTCTCTTCTCTGATTTGGGTAGGGTCGGCTCCTCTCTTCTCTGATTTGGGTAGGGTCGGCTCCTCTCTTCTCTGATTTGGGTAGGGTCGGCTCCTCTCTTCTCTGATTTGGGTAGGGTCGGCTCCTCTCTTCTCTGATTTGGGTAGGGTCGGCTCCTCTCTTCTCTGATTTGGGTAGGGTTGGCTCCTCTCTTCTCTGATTTGGGTAGGGTCGGCTCCTCTCTTCTCTGATTTGGGTAGGGTCGGCTCCTCTCTTCTCTGATTTGGGTAGGGTTGGCTCCTCTCTTCTCTGATTTGGGTAGGGTCGGCTCCTCTCTTCTCTGATTTGGGTAGGGTTGGCTCCTCTCTTCTCTGATTTGAGTAGGGTTGGCTCCTCTCTTCTCTGATTTGAGTAGGGTTGGCTCCTCTCTTCTCTGATTTGAGTAGGGTTGGCTCCTCTCTTCTCTGATTTGAGTAGGGTTGGCTCCTCTCTTCTCTGATTTGAGTAGGGTTGGCTCCTCTCTTCTCTGATTTGAGTAGGGTTGGCTCCTCTCTTCTCTGATTTGAGTAGGGTTGGCTCCTCTCTTCTCTGATTTGAGTAGGGTTGGCTCCTCTCTTCTCTGATTTGAGTAGGGTTGGCTCCTCTCTTCTCTGATTTGAGTAGGGTTGGCTCCTCTCTTCTCTGATTTGAGTAGGGTTGGCTCCTCTCTTCTCTGATTTGAGTAGGGTTGGCTCCTCTCTTCTCTGATTTGGGTAGGGTTGGCTCCTCTCTTCTCTGATTTGGGTAGGGTTGGCTCCTCTCTTCTCTGATTTGGGTAGGGTTGGCTCCTCTCTTCTCTGATTTGGGTAGGGTCGGCTCCTCTCTTCTCTGATTTGGGTAGGGTTGGCTCCTCTCTTCTCTGATTTGGGTAGGGTTGGCTCCTCTCTTCTCTGATTTGGGTAGGGTCGGCTCCTCTCTTCTCTGATTTGGGTAGGGTCGGCTCCTCTCTTCTCTGATTTGGGTAGGGTCGGCTCCTCTCTTCTCTGATTTGGGTAGGGTCGGCTCCTCTCTTCTCTGATTTGGGTAGGGTCGGCTCCTCTCTTCTCTGATTTGGGTAGGGTCGGCTCCTCTCTTCTCTGATTTGGGTAGGGTCGGCTCCTCTCTTCTCTGATTTGGGTAGGGTCGGCTCCTCTCTTCTCTGATTTGGGTAGGGTCGGCTCCTCTCTTCTCTGATTTGGGTAGGGTTGGCTCCTCTCTTCTCTGATTTGGGTAGGGTCGGCTCCTCTCTTCTCTGATTTGGGTAGGGTCGGCTCCTCTCTTCTCTGATTTGGGTAGGGTTGGCTCCTCTCTTCTCTGATTTGGGTAGGGTCGGCTCCTCTCTTCTCTGATTTGGGTAGGGTTGGCTCCTCTCTTCTCTGATTTGAGTAGGGTTGGCTCCTCTCTTCTCTGATTTGAGTAGGGTTGGCTCCTCTCTTCTCTGATTTGAGTAGGGTTGGCTCCTCTCTTCTCTGATTTGAGTAGGGTTGGCTCCTCTCTTCTCTGATTTGAGTAGGGTTGGCTCCTCTCTTCTCTGATTTGAGTAGGGTTGGCTCCTCTCTTCTCTGATTTGAGTAGGGTTGGCTCCTCTCTTCTCTGATTTGAGTAGGGTTGGCTCCTCTCTTCTCTGATTTGAGTAGGGTTGGCTCCTCTCTTCTCTGATTTGAGTAGGGTTGGCTCCTCTCTTCTCTGATTTGAGTAGGGTTGGCTCCTCTCTTCTCTGATTTGAGTAGGGTCGGCTCCTCTCTTCTCTGATTTGAGTAGGGTTGGCTCCTCTCTTCTCTGATTTGAGTAGGGTTGGCTCCTCTCTTTCTCAAGAGAGGAGCTGACCCTACCCAGATCAGAGGCTAACGAACGAAAGAGACAGAAATTTCGGTCTAGTCTAGCTACAGGAAGTATAAATGATTTCCTGTCATTGTCATTGTCATTGAATTTGAAGCAGCGCAATGTAACTTTTGTTGATTAATAGACGAACAGAACTTGAATAGGTCTAATAAGATAATAGTGTAAGTCTGGTGCCATCCAGTTTGGCAAACGGTCGGGAAGTCATATTGAGCCATTGTTTGATAATAACTAGTTCGATTACTTTTAGTTTCTGGCAGTATATATTATCATTACTTAGGCAAATCCAGCATAGCATCAGGTGAAAAGTATTGTACTTTTAGTGCCCACTGTCCAAACATAATCCTCAAGTAAAAATGTTTGAGATTTTTATGAAATATTACTATTGGAATACATGTGCGAAAGCCAAAATACATAAAATAAAGTGAATGAAAATTATGATAAATAAATCAAACTAATATAAAATAAGAAATAAAGACATGTGTAAATAAATTATGACACCTTCTTCTTAGTTGATCCCTCCACTATTTTGGAGATAATTTAGTCCAAATAAAGTAAATGTTTAAAATCTGACCGGTTAGGAGCTTTGGAGAGTATGAACTAACTTTTATATATTGCATTTTTATATTAAATGCCACTATGTCCCAGAGTTGCTTTTCTTTGTGCTATCACTTTTGTATTGTCTGCACCTTCACCCGCTGTCACAACACATCCCATCCCAGTAATAGCAGAGCTACCAAGTATCACGCATTAGGCGTGACATCACGCATTTCGAGGGTCTGAAAATGCTCTTACGCACGACGCGCGCGCTAGATTTTGAAAAAAACGCTATACCTTATACGCGTGTTATACCCTCGCACGCGCGCTGAATCATGAAAATGTCACGCATTGCCGATCTTTGAACTTGGCGTCTCTGTAATAGGGAAATAGCTTTGAAAAGCTGCTTCAGAGAATATCAAGTTTCAAGATTATATGTTTTACATCTCTGCTTTCCAATAATTCTTAGATGTATTGTATTGAATAAATTGATTCTCTGCAGGCATGGAGAGATATCGAAGCTTGACCAAATCTCACTACAATGGAGCGAAAGGAGCCCTCATTCTGTTTGACCTCACGGATGAAAAGAGTTTTTCTAATGTCGCGCATTGGTGAGTAACCTCATTCATAGACCTGTTTCACAGAGCCTTTTTTTCAATGACAAATGACAAAAGTCAGTGACAAATCTGCTGATAACCAATCAGAAGCAAGGATTTCACTGGCTTATAACAAAAAAAATTGTTACGGATGACAAGTTTTGTGAAATGGGGCCCATGGCCTTCATAGTTTCATAACAAATTTGTTACCAATAACAAACGCAAAATTTCTATGACAAATTCTCAGTTAATCAAATGCCACAATTTCAGTAGCTTGTAATAGTTATTGTAACATGTTATTGATATTAAACAAGTTTTTTTGAAATAGAGTTCAGATCATGTGATGGCATTTTTTGTTGTTGAAAGGACAAGTAAATAATATGGGTGTGTGTTGTTTTGGGGTTTGTGTTTTCCTTTTCTTTTCTTTCCTTTCTTCTTTTTGTATGGGGGGGGGGGGGTGCTTTACTAAAGAGAAAGGAGATCAAAATACTCAGGAAAACAGGAGAATGAGTGAAACTGCCTACAGGTTTAGAGTGATATTTAATTATCAGATTGAGAAACAAAATTCTGACAAGATTCCTTTTTTAGAAAGCAAATTTGGAGATTATAACTCATAGAATAAGCATTTAAATGTAATGATTTTTTTAATTTTTTTTTTTTTTTTTTTTTTGGGGGGGGAATAAAAGTTTCCCTGAAGCCATACTTGCTCAAATATTGTGAAAGAGGAAGTCCACCCTGATATTAGGTTGTTTTTAATAGAAGTAGTAGAAAAATCTCTTGTGCAATACTTCATTGTGTGGTTATTATCACCAATGAAATTATCATAAATTTCCATTTTGTTACAGTTTATAGAATCTATTTTAGTGCACAAGTTGGACCAGGGTCCATTTGAGGGGTTTTCTGCCAAGGCTTGTGTAACAGGAAGCGGAATGTGTTTCAGAGAAAAGTCTATTTGGTTGTATAATTTAGGACAAATTAGAAGCACAAAGTCCTTGTACTGTGCTTTATATTACCCTCTGCAAATAATGTTTATGACTTCATGGAGACTATACATGTACATGTCTAACAAAGTCTAGGCCCCTCAATTGTGTGTGGTATTCAATTCTTTAATGCATCATAAAACTGGAGAAAAAAAATTGTAGTATGTGCATTTGAAGTAATAAAATGCACAGTGTTCATCATTTTAAAAAGGCCAATGGGTAGGTTTTTTTTAAAATAAATATAAATAGAATATGATCACCATGATGTAAACAAAAATTGAATGAATTTCTGGCATACCGGTATTCCAATTTTGACATGCCACTTTTTACATATTTTAGCATGTCACTTATCTGAAGGACTATAAAATGCATTGTAATTGAAAAAATAAAAATAGAAACCTAATTTCTGTAAATATGATTTGGGTACAGCTGTGTACGCTATGTACCCAACATTCACTTAGATTTGGTTCTATCTGTGAGAAGTAATTTTTTAAACACTGTCTCAAAATAGAGCGAATTGTAAAGTTGACTTTAAGTGGAAAGATAGGAGAAAAACAATAATTACTTATCACAAAAACCTTTTCTTCTTGGAGTGGGGAAAGAACCTTGCCTCGGGACTTTTGAAATATGCTCAGAATTAACGTAATTGCATACACACTCGTTGCCTACACTGTATATCAATACATAATGGCACTAGAAGTACAAATTTAATATTTTAAAACCAAAACCAACTTTCAAATAGGTAAGGAGTGACAGAGTTACTCACAGTAGGGACTTTTAGATTTGCACATCGACAGCTTTGACTGCAACGTGTGACGTCATTTTAAGGCACTGCGCATGCGTTACGTCGTCTCAGTCGGCGATTGAGAATGCGTCAACCTTGATTTTCCTAAATCTAGTACCTACATACATATTGGTATTTATATAGCGCCTTAAATTTACATGCTCAAGGTACTAGTATGCCGCGTGCGCATAAAATATACAGTTCCTCAGGTAGACAAAGGAACATATATCCCTTCCCTGCTATTATGTAAAAATGTTTAGAACAGGTGTCACATGCTATTCACCTGTTCTACACATTTTTACATAATATCAGTGAAGGGATGTTCTTTTGTTGAGGGTAGAATGAGGAACTGTATATTTTGTCCTCTTTCTTTGTCCGTGATGTTCATAGTGTTACTTCCTGCATGCATGTATATCGTCGAGTGCAATCTAAAAGATTTCTAATTGTAGTCAACATGGGCAGTTAAGTACGTTGACACGCATGATCAGTTGGCGTTCGTCGTGTTCTCGTCCACTAAATCTAAAAGTCCCTAATAATAATCTAGTGGCAGCTGGCCATGATCTTTGTATTAATACCACAATTCAGTCTATTGATAATCACTATCACAGTACTTAATGTACATACATGTACAAATATTTGAGCGAGGCAAGTACTGACAAGCCATTGTTTACCAAAGTCCAAACTCAACAACTTCAATTCTATTAAGACTTTCTCAAAATAGAGAGAATTGTAAAGTTGACTTTAACTGGAAAGATAGGGGGAAAAAGGCAAGAGAAAAATAAATATTTACTTAAAATCACAAAAATCTTGCCTAGGAACTTTTGAAATATGCTCATAATAAAAAAAAAAAATGATACTTGCTTGTTGCCTTTGTCAGATAATGGCACTAGAAGGACAAATTTAATATTTTAAGAATTAAGTGTAGGGTGACAGAGTTACTCAAATATTAGTGGCAGCTAGCCATGACATATTTGTTTACATTTTTATTGTACTTTTGAGATGGAAACCACAGTTTAGTCTGTTGTGAATCACTGTCAACAAGTAGATTAAAAGATTCTGCGATATTAAAATATTGATTCAGATATTTCATTGCTGTTAATTTCTGTGGAAAATCCTGCAAAATATGTGAATTCATGGAACATTATAGCTGGACCTTGTGCAGTTTTTTAATAAAGATACTTGCAGTACAGGTCATTCATGTCCAGTTAGAAAATGAAGGTAAAAAACATGGTGAAGAGCAAAATCCGTCTTGTAAAGCAATGAAAAATATGTTTTTTGTTTTACACACTACACTATGTTTTGAAACATACTACTCTGTTGTAGTGTCCTCTTAACAGAAGCAGAATTTAAAAAGAATAATTATGATAACTTTCATTCACAGCAGGGGTCTTAAATCTTAAATGGCTCTTATTTTTATGTTTTCGCCACGGTGGTGCTAGAGGCTTTATGTTTTGGGGGTTGTTTATCTGTCCAACTTTTTGTTACAGCAGTATTACCATTTCAGGCAATTCAACTAAAATTGGCCTTATATTAGTACAGGGTTATGTTATATAATGGGTTTAGATGTTAAAGTTCATACAAATTTCAAATAATTCAAGAAAATAATTTGCTTTTCTTCTTAATAATACTGTTGTAGGTTGGAAGATCTTGAGCAGTACACAGACCGTCCAGACAGAGTACAGGTAATAATGGTGGGAACACGGTGCCACAAGAAGGACCAAAGAACAGTCCCTGGCGACAGAATCACCAAATTGGCCGAACACCACAATGCCACATCGATAGAAATCAGCGTGGAAGAAGATATAAATATAACAGAGACATTTGACGTGCTTGTGGATAGAATACTGAGCTCTCATCCTGAACTCAGAGGAGCTGACCAGCCCATCTTCCTAGCGACGTCATCAGATGAACATAAAGAACTGGACTTTAGTTGCACACAGTGCTGCCCCATCGGATTCAAGCCAAAGGATTCAGGAGGCGGTGGATAATGAAGAGTATTGTCTAGTGTATTCTAAAATTGTGGGGACACTAGCTCTTTCTAGGGGAAATAAAGAGGGAGGGAGGGAGAGAGAGAGAAAGAGAGATAGAGAGAAAGATGGGGAGGAAGAAAGGGTGAGAGAGAGAGAGAAAAGGGGGAGAGGGGCAGAGAGACAGAGAGGGGAGAGGATGATGGAGGGAGGGAGGGACGGAGAGAGAGAAAGAAGGAGAGAGATGGGTGGTAATAGATGGACGAGGATCAAACAAATCATAGGGATAAGGAGGGTAGTAGTAGAGATGAACTACGAGAATGAAGATCATGACTAACATGTACCCATTCTATGTGTATGTATGCTGTAGCAGAGGAATAACAAATGTTCATGTGAAAACATTTAAATGTGTTGAACCTAGACATATCAATCAGAGGTGGTGTTAACTTATCATTCCTTTTAACAATTTTCTGGCACTTGTCGCAGTAACCTTGTTGACGTTAGAAATACATTGTTTACACAGCATTTTACTAATTAATGCATTCCAATTGTTTTGTCATTGTATAGTTTTGATTCAGAAATTTTGTTTTAAGTGGTAACAAAGTTTAAAAATAAAAATTGAATTCCAAATTCCAAGCATTCAGGCTTTCACATAAAGCAATCTACATGTGTGACAGCTCTACATGTCTTACATTCTGATCAACAGAAAATGTATTAAAAGTAATTTTTGGTCTATATCTGACCACGAAAGATGTTGGAGAGAGACTTACTTGAAGAATGTATGAAATTAACCTTTGACATTGGATATATTTTTGTTGTTATGCAGTACTGGATGTGCTTACAGGTGTTTTTATGTTATATGTATATATTGACCAAAATAATAATGAGTAAAATATAAACAATTCTATTACATTGGTGATACTGTTCTATTATATTAATGGGGAAGAGGCAATAAAGAGAGGAATAGTTAGATGATTTATTTTCAAGATTATGATAGGGAATGTATAATTCATTTTAGCTAGCAATTGAGGAGATATTCAGCTTTAAAATTTGGTTATAAATTCTCTTCTTGTATTGTCAAAACGTTTTTTGTTGTTGTAAGCATTATAGTGTTGTCAATATTATGTTTGTTTTATGAAGTAAACATTATTGTTTGATTTGAATCAGATTGTTAAAAATTCAAACTGATATTGTTATAAAATGATCTGTGATGATTCCTTTATTAACATTATGTATGAGGAAGAAGCTTTTAAAGATATTTTGTAGAAATACAAACAAAAACTAATAGTGTTATACTTTTAATATTCTTTTATTTTTGATGATTTATTCAAATTAAAAAAAAAAAAAAAAATCAACTTATGTAACACAGAACACTGGTGGATGCTGTGCCATAAAAAAAAAAGCATCTCGGTTTTTGTATCTTTCCATGGCTCTCTTCTGTGCCAAATTCGAAATAAATCTAGTGGAAAATTTTACAGTAATTACTGTGTAACGATCTTTCACATGGACAATCATGCTTAATCTAAGAACCTTGAGGGCAGCAGCACCAAAACATGTAGTTTTTCCTTATTTTTTTTTAGCACAATAGACAATTTGGTGAATTCCTTGTATGTCTTCAAATACATTTTCATATGAAGTTTGCTCTATTTTTCATGTAGATTATTACTTTTCTTCTGACTAACGAGTGTCTATGACTTTGTCTATGATCTTTGAACCTGACTGCAATTGTTTTTTTTTTTTTTTGCATTTGTTATTCCTCAAATGTTCAAAGTTCAAAAATCTACTCAGGACAAGTATGAGCAAAAGAATCCAAAAATGTTACTTAATATATGCCAAATTGCTGCATTTTCAAAAGTGTAATAAAGTTGTCTGTTGAGCAGTAATCTGATATTGGTGTTAAGAATGACATACATTGAATACATTGTACCTAGTCATATGCATACAGTGTAGCTTGTATACGTTGTAGTAACATTGGAGTAATAGGCCATTTTCGTAATGTAACCAAATTTAATGCATAAGTCTTTGTGAAGTGCCTCAATACATATTATTTTATTCACCTGAAAAGAATAATAGTATTGCAATAGACAGAATCCAAACTGCATACATTAGTTTTTGCCAGGTTGGACAAACATTATGACTTGAACTACCTGGCAACACTTAATATATGCAGTGTGCATTCTGACTATTGAAATACTATTATTCTTATAAGGTGAAAGAAATAACTTGTATTGAGGCACTTCACAAAGATTTATGCATTAGATTTGGTAACATTACGAAAATGGCCTATTGAATATCTATCTTCAAACAAATCATTTGTCATTTTGAAAATGATCGATTGGTAGTTTCTTTTCTCCATATTGTTGTTGTATGACTGAAAGATGTTCTTGGGTACAATCTTCAACAGATTTGTAGATTTCCTCATGAGTAATGTATTTCAATATGGACATCTGCATGTTCAGGAATTTGGAATACATGATTGTATAGTATGAAAAAAGAAATGATTCATTTTGAATATAACTACAACACCTGACTTGAAAAAATGCAAGTCTGACTTTCACAATTGAAAAAAAAAGCAATTGCTGAATTGGGTGTGAAAGGTACTCTGAAATAAATGATGACTGACTGAGCACTTATTGAAAATATAATATATGTGACTGTATTCAGTAAAGCTGACTAGTTTGAAAAATATCAAAGGGGAAGTCCACCCTGATATTAAGTATATTTAAAAAGAATTCAATTCAATTCAAATATTTTTATTATTAAAAGCAGAACACATGAGAGAAACATGTCAGTGAAAGTTGAGCAGAAACTAATACAAAATAAGGAAATTATTAGTTTTTGAAGGTGAAATCACTCAAACTCAAATTGGCAACTCTTTGATACAACCCCTGTACGAAAAAATATATCCATGAATGAATGAAATTTTCTGTACAGAGCATATTGGAGAGGAACTTGCATAATTCATCACAGTATTGCCAATTTATGTTTCATCGATAACAATTTCCAAAATTCATAAGTGTCCCATTTGTGATCGAAATTAGTTGCTCAATCTCCTTTTATTCAAACAAACCTAATATTAGGGTGGACTTCACCTTTAGACTGGATTTGGGAGAATAGATGTCTGAATGTGCTAACGGGTGTAATGGAAGTGTTTGCAACTTGCTAGACATTTCAAAAGAAATTGGCAGTATGCACAACATCTTTTATTTTGTTGCTGCTTGTAAGTGTCGGCTTGCATGGTGATGTAGATATACAGTAGGCTTGCGGGTGCACCATGTATGAGAGAGAGAGAAGGTCGGAAGTCCTGCAGAGGATTACGAGTCAGAGTCCTTTGCAGGACTCCTCAACCCTCTCTCTCTCTCTCTCTCACATGGTGCACCCGCAAGCCTACTGTATATCTCTGATTTTGTTTTTGAATGATTTGAGAACTATTGCAATCAACCATGGAGAAAAGGCTTCATGATATTTTAGAAAAGAAGCATCTTTCATCGTCTTTTATGTTTACACAAACATTTTTTTAATGATTATTTTGATAAAAGTTTGTGCATGTGTTTTATTCTTTTAATATATATATCATGTGCTTCCATTTAGGTTTGATTTATAGCAATTGGTGCCTATAGTAAAACATGTGTGTGCTCTGATAGTCGACAGAAACTTTGCATCTTTAAAAGCACAGGTACATTAACAGTAAACATGATTTTTAAATTATTTGTATTTATCATTTTATTGCAATTAATACAATTGTTTGTCTATTTTTCTTGTTTACAATGATTTGTTGAAATGTCAATGAAAATCACATTTTTGTCTCCTTCATAACCTAACTATTCTTGATTGTTTGTAAATTGAATTATCCTATATTGTATTGTACATGTACTACAATGTATTCTTCTTTAAAGGTAAAGACCAGTATTGGAAACGCCCCAATTTCAAAAAATGAAATCGGGAAGCTCTCATTACCAATCATGTGAAAGAATATGTTTTGACTAATACATAATGATAAAATACTTGCCGGGAAACCGCCTACTAATTCATATATTTGGTAAATTTGTTTCTCTCATGGTCTGTGAGAGATATAGGGTAGTCCCATATACATCTTTCTGTGTATAGTGCTTGTAACTTTACGAAGAATGGGCCAAATTTCTTATCATTTTGAAGATTCCAGAACCTTGCAGATGCTAGATGCCTTTTCTGATCGATTCCACAACGTTTCTTTCACAATAATACCCTAGAGTCATGCCTGTACTTAAAGGGAGACTAAAGGCTTCGCTACTGGTTTCTTGCATCCATAGTTATGTTTTCTCTACTTATGCCCAATGTAAAAAGAAAAGTGTATTCCACTAACAAAATTATCACTATGCATCAGTGTTTATGGGCAAGATAATGGAAGCAAACCATTGATCAAATGTTAATGTTTTTTTTTTCTTCTTCTTCTTGTATGACGTTACCGCGAGTTTTCTTTACTAAGTTTATGTGATCTCAAAGACTTCAACATTAAGTACAAAACATTTCTTCTTTCTTTTTGATTCCGGCTATACGATAGTAATTCAGGACAATAATTACTTACATTTCAAGATGGATGCAAATAGAATTTATTTTTTATACGCTATGTCGTCACAATCTGGGGCAAAGTTTGTGCTATATATACAATGCAAATGGATGTTGAAGTTTATGCAAACAGGAATTAATCCCTGCTATAATTTTGTTTACAGCATTGGTATGCTTCACAATGAATTCATGAATGTATTTTATTGAAAACAGACCTAAAAAATTAGTGTATCGAGTCAATAGTTATTTCCCTGACACTAGTGTGGGAAAGTTTGGAAAAGGTTATTTGATCGAAGATTTTACCATACCATGGTTATTTTCTGATTAATATTTCAAATGTCATGAATGAGGCTTAATGAGAGGCCGACTGTTTATCTTAACTGCATACTCCGTGTATATTCAGGTTTAAAATACATTATGTTTGTCAAGAGCATACAACATAAAAGCTGTACAAAATATATCTGATATATACATTAAATTAGCAGTAGAAAATGAGAATACAAAAAATGATTATATATATATCAAGCAGACAGAAATTAATCGCTGGAAATAATTTGTAAATATTCTTCACAATTTCT